CACTCCCCCCGGTCCCCCAAAAAAAAAAAAAAAAAATGAATTTATAATGGGGTTGGACAAAAACACAAAGCCCTGGGCCCCTTTAAATACCCCCACAGTTTATTATCATTGCATAGTCAATGTGTACATTATACCTGATAAACCCAAATTAACAGCTCCCCATGCTCATTATTCCACCAGCACAGGGATAATAGGGGGGGGAAACTACTTCCGGTCTGTGGCTAATAGACTTCCGGCGTGTGCGTTCCACAGTTGCCAAGTTACTTCCTGACAGCGCGCACGGGCAGGACTCCTCCCGTGGAGGTTAAAATAAGCAATAAAGTCACACATTCATTTTTAGGAAGCGCAGAATTCAGTTTGACCGTCTGACTTGGAATTTGTTGGAAAAATAACACGGCGAGCGTGTGTTGTGGAAGCAAAGTGTCCTCGTTCAAGGTGGACGTCGGCCATTTTCTTGTAGCCTCTCTTATAGTTTTGCCATGAGAATTGTAATTGTTTGCTAGTTTATAGACAAAATTGTGTACATACTTGTCCGCAGAGTCGTCTTTGTTTTGTTTTGGTCTGGAATTATTAAAAGCAACTATTTAGTTTATGTCATAAGGAAAGGCAGCGGCCATTTTGTTGTAGCCCGCAGAAGCAAAAAGCCCCCGTTCTTTTACTTGCAGTCACCTTTTGTGCAGCAGCTGGAGACAGGGGAGGAGAGGTGCTGGGTTTTGGGTCATTATGGGTTATATTTGAATTAGTTTGTCACACAGGGGAAGCGGTTGAATATGAGACGCGGGGTTATGACATGGCTGATTATCTAAGTTGGGGCGTTGCGGTGCGCTGCTTCACTCTGAGCCAGGATTCACGACTTCCTCTACGCATGGGGTTTTAAAGAAGGGAGGAGCTCTTTATTCAGTAAATCGAACACGCGCAGTGGCAGCATCCCAAGCAATGCGCCTTTTAACTTGTCGGAGGAACACATAGCAACCCTTGATTATTTTTTTTCAGTCTCTATAGCACTAGTGTGCCACACAGAGTGCAACAAATCTTATCAGGAACCGCCCCCGAGGAGCCTCACTCCTGCTCGTAAAAAGTAGAAGATCGTGCAGGACTGGAATGCTGAATTCAGTTTTCAATGGAGGGGCAACAACACTTTCTGTGCTCTCTTGCCTCAAACAATCTAAAGATGAAGCTAAAATTCCTCTCTGGGGAATTAGATTGAAAGCTCCTCTGGGGCGGGGACCAATAGAAGGGTCTGGGAGTTCTGTTAAGTACTTTTAGGGTGAACTACAATTAACATGTTCAATAATTCTTCTGTTTTCAGATTTTGTATCTGCTGGTACCACCAAAACGGCCTTAGTAAAGGCGACTACGTATACGAAAAAAGGCCTCAATGACGATGGAGAAGGAACGTGGTCACATGACAGAGAGGATGTTAGACCTCACCCTGGAGATCATCTACTTGCTGACCGGAGAGGTGAGGAGGATTCTGGGAGGTCACAAATGCATTTATTGTTTGTAGAGATCTATAACCAATGTTGTGAGTACCAATGTTCATTGGTGGTCAGTGGTGAGTGCTGCTGATCGTTGGTGGTCAGTGGTGAGTGCTGCTGATCGTTGGTGGTCAGTGGTGAGTGCTGCTGATCGTTGGTGGTCAGTGGTGAGCGTCCCCCTTTGTTGGTGGTTAGTGGTGAGCATCCCCCTTTGTTGGTGCTCAGTGGTGAGTGTCCCCTTTTGTTGGTGGTCAGTGAGGAGTGTCTCCATTTGTTGGTGGCTAGTGGTACTATGTTTGTGGTGGTCAGTGGTGAATGCCATGTTTGTGGTGGTGAGTGGTGAATGCCATGTTTGTGGTGGTCAGTGGTGAATGCCATGTTTGCTGGTGGTCAGTGGTGAGTACTGTGTTTGTGGTGGTGAGTGCCATATTTGTGGTGGTCAGTGGTGAATGCCATGTTTGCTGGTGGTCAGTGGTGAGTACTGTGTTTGTGGTGGTGAGTGCCATATTTGTGGTGGTGAGTGGTGAATGCCATGTTTGTGGTGGTCAGTGGTGAATGCCATGTTTGCTGGTGGTCAGTGGTGAGTACTGTGTTTGTGGTGGTCAGTGGTGAGTGCCATGTTTGTGGTGGTCAGTGGTGAGTGCCATATTTGTGGTGGTCAGTGGTGAGTGCCGTGTTTGTGGTGGTCAGTGGTGAGTGCCGTGTTTGTGGTGGTCAGTGGTGAGTGCCATGTTTGTGGTGGTCAGTGGTGAGTACTGTTTGTGGTGGTCAGTGGTGAGTGCCATGTTTGTGGTGGTCAGTGGTGAGTGCCATGTTTGTGGTGGTCAGTGGTGAGTGCCATGTTTGTGGTGGTCAGTGGTGAGTGCCATGTTTGTGGTGGTCAGTGGTGAAACATCACTCTTATCTCTATTCATAAAACACAGACCTGACCGGAGAGGTGAGGAGGATTCTGGGAGGTCACAAATGCATTTATTGTTTGTAGAGATCTATAACCAATGTTGTGAGTACCAATGTTCATTGGTGGTCAGTGGTGAGTGCTGCTGATCGTTGGTGGTCAGTGGTGAGTGTCCCCCTTTGTTGGTGGTTAGTGGTGAGCATCCCCTTTTGTTGGTGGTCAGTGAGGAGTGTCTCCATTTGTTGGTGGCTAGTGGTACTATGTTTGTGGTGGTCAGTGGTGAGTGCCATGTTTGTGGTGGTGAGTGGTGAATGCCATGTTTGTGGTGGTGAGTGGTGAATGCCATGTTTGTGGTGGTGAGTGGTGAATGCCATGTTTGTGGTGGTCAGTGGTGAATGCCATGTTTGTGGTGGTCAGTGGTGAATGCCATGTTTGTGGTGGTCAGTGGTGAGTGCCATGTTTGTGGGGGTCAGTGGTGAGTGCCATGTTTGTGGGGGTCAGTGGTGAGTGCCATGTTTGTGGGGGTCAGTGGTGAGTGCCATGTTTGTGGGGGTCAGTGGTGAGTGCCATGTTTGTGGGGGTCAGTGGTGAGTGCCATGTTTGTGGGGGTCAGTGGTGAGTGCCATGTTTGTGGGGGTCAGTGGTGAGTGCCATGTTTGTGGGGGTCAGTGGTGAGTGCCATGTTTGTGGGGGTCAGTGGTGAGTGCCATGTTTGTGGGGGTCAGTGGTGAGTGCCATGTTTGTGGGGGTCAGTGGTGAGTGCCATGTTTGTGGGGGTCAGTGGTGAGTGCCATGTTTGTGGGGGTCAGTGGTGAGTGCCATGTTTGTGGGGGTCAGTGGTGAGTGCCATGTTTGTGGGGGTCAGTGGTGAGTGCCATGTTTGTGGGGGTCAGTGGTGAGTGCCATGTTTGTGGGGGTCAGTGGTGAGTGCCATGTTTGTGGGGGTCAGTGGTGAGTGCCATGTTTGTGGGGGTCAGTGGTGAGTGCCATGTTTGTGGGGGTCAGTGGTGAGTGCCATGTTTGTGGGGGTCAGTGGTGAGTGCCATGTTTGTGGGGGTCAGTGGTGAGTGCCATGTTTGTGGGGGTCAGTGGTGAGTGCCATGTTTGTGGGGGTCAGTGGTGAGTGCCATGTTTGTGGGGGTCAGTGGTGAGTGCCATGTTTGTGGGGGTCAGTGGTGAGTGCCATGTTTGTGGGGGTCAGTGGTGAGTGCCATGTTTGTGGGGGTCAGTGGTGAGTGCCATGTTTGTGGGGGTCAGTGGTGAGTGCCATGTTTGTGGGGGTCAGTGGTGAGTGCCATGTTTGTGGGGGTCAGTGGTGAGTGCCATGTTTGTGGGGGTCAGTGGTGAGTGCCATGTTTGTGGGGGTCAGTGGTGAGTGCCATGTTTGTGGGGGTCAGTGGTGAGTGCCATGTTTGTGGGGGTCAGTGGTGAGTGCCATGTTTGTGGGGGTCAGTGGTGAGTGCCATGTTTGTGGGGGTCAGTGGTGAGTGCCATGTTTGTGGGGGTCAGTGGTGAGTGCCATGTTTGTGGGGGTCAGTGGTGAGTGCCATGTTTGTGGGGGTCAGTGGTGAGTGCCATGTTTGTGGGGGTCAGTGGTGAGTGCCATGTTTGTGGGGGTCAGTGGTGAGTGCCATGTTTGTGGGGGTCAGTGGTGAGTGCCATGTTTGTGGGGGTCAGTGGTGAGTGCCATGTTTGTGGGGGTCAGTGGTGAGTGCCATGTTTGTGGGGGTCAGTGGTGAGTGCCATGTTTGTGGGGGTCAGTGGTGAGTGCCATGTTTGTGGGGGTCAGTGGTGAGTGCCATGTTTGTGGGGGTCAGTGGTGAGTGCCATGTTTGTGGGGGTCAGTGGTGAGTGCCATGTTTGTGGGGGTCAGTGGTGAGTGCCATGTTTGTGGGGGTCAGTGGTGAGTGCCATGTTTGTGGGGGTCAGTGGTGAGTGCCATGTTTGTGGGGGTCAGTGGTGAGTGCCATGTTTGTGGGGGTCAGTGGTGAGTGCCATGTTTGTGGTGGTCAGTGGTGAATGCCATGTTTGTGGTGGTCAGTGGCAAGCTCACACATTAGTTGGTGGTTAGTTCCCCTGTGTGTTGATGATTTTTGATGCGTGTCCCTGTTCCTCAGGGGTCAATGTTTAGTGCTCAGTAGGTACTTCGTAAAGGAAATCATTGGTATTCAATGATTGTTTGAGAGGCGCAGCTGCCCTCCTTCTTCCCAGGTCTCTGGTCAATGACATGGCACCACAGCCATGTAGGACCATTGGTTGGGTTCTTAGTCCAAGAGGTGCTGCCTACAAAGTGGAGAGGTGTCTCTAGACCCGGGGCACTGGAAAGGAAACCTGGGGCACATGCCTAGGTGTCCGCGTCTGGCGTTGTTCCTGGTTTGGACACTTGTAACCTGTTATTTGTTCTCTTTGTATCTAGAACTATATAGCTTTCAAGTTATCTAATGGCTTGGTCGCTCCCAACCTAAGGAACACACAGAGCCCCTTCACACAACCTCCGCCTCCCGCTCTGACACCTGAAACAAGCAACGACAAAAAGATTCAAGAGGTGACCAACAAGATCATCGAGCTGCTGACGGGAGAGGTGAGCGGTGTCGGGAATTCTGGGACATGATCCAGGAACAGACAAGGGATGTGTCTGGGTGGTGACTGTATCATTGTGTGTGTCAGGTTCCTATAAGGTGTCAGGATGTCACGGTTTCTTTCTCCATGGAGGAGTGGGAGTATCTAGAAGGACACCGGGATCTCTACAAGGACGTCATGATGGAGAACCGGCCGCCCCTCACATCACCCGGTAAGAGGAGACTTTAATTTCTTGAGTATTGATGATCCCCCTATATACACACATCCTCTGATATAAAGACATAGAAACAATGTATTCAGTCAGTGTGTGTGTTTCCTACAGATGGATGCAGGAACAGAAATACCCCAGAGAGATGTCCCCGTCCTCTGTATTCCCGGGATTCCACACAGGAACATCTCAAGATCCCGTATGAGGAACAGGTATCTTTGAAGACATATCATGGCAAATCCAAAGGCCTGGTGGACTCCGGTGTATAAAACAGTTTTGTGTTTCTTAGGTTGAACGTCTGATTAACGTTAAAGTTGAGGTCACAGAGAGAGAAGAGGAGATGTATTTGAGGAATGATGTGCAGCATACGGAGGAGAAAGTTCCTACAGATGGATCCAGTGACAGAAATACCCCAGAGAGATGTCCCCGTCCTTTGTATTCCCGGGATTCCATTCAGGAACATCACGGAACCCACCAGTATTATCCGGTAAGTTTAGTATTGGCTCTTAGTAGACATGATATAAATTCTTTATTTAGAGTTTTAATACAAGAAATGCACACAGTGGGTCCCATGGGACCAAAATACAAAAACAAGACAAGATGGAGCACAAGGGTCACATGAAGGATCTGGGTGGAGGCATATAAATGGTCAACAGAAGACAGTACATTGTGATGAATGCACAGTCTTGAGTTTGATGTTATACATGAGCGGTAAACTGGTCCGGGAAGTGAATCCAGGTCAATGCTGTGGTAATTCTAACAACATAGCCCATCTAAGCTACATGCCACCAAGTAGAGGGTAAGAAAAGGATTAGACAATGGACCTCACACATCAAAGATAGGAAAATACTTCGAGAAAAGGCAGCACACAGAAAGAAGGATAGGCTCAGCAGAGGGAATGAGGAACAGGCCATACTGGATGGCTACTGGGCAGTCAAAGATCCAAACTCCATGAAGTCAAGGAACTCCGTCCAAACTCCATGGAGTCAAGGAACTCCGTCCAAACTCCGGGGAGTCAAGGAACTCCGTCCAAACTCCGGGGAGTCAAGAAACTCCGCCCAAACTCCGGGGAGTTAAGAAACTCCGTCCAAACTCCGGGGAGTCAAGAAACTCCGCCCAAACTCCGGGGAGTCAAGAAACTCCGTCCAAACTCTGGGGAGTCAAGGAACTCCGTCCAAACTCTGGGGAGTCAAGGAACTCCGTCCAAACTACGGGGAGTCAAGGAACTC